TACAAAACAAATATTAGATAAGCCAATTGGAGTCATCTTTAGAATGGGACGAGTTACTGTTCGACTTTCTCTCTTTATGGGACCAATTAAGAGAAAACTCATTTTTGTATGGGACGAAAAAAGAGAGCAAAACAGGGACGAGTTTTTGTGGGCCTAATAATGGTCCCAATCAGGGTATCACCCTAGTTTGGAACTTTATTTTAATTTTATGATTATTATTGCCAATTATATTCTAATTGATATATATATATATATATATATACGTGTATATAGTGACAAAAGATAAGGGAATAAAAATGTTTCGAATCAATTCAAAGGTTATCAACAATATCATAAAAATTCGTTTGGTTACAATACACTTAAGACAAGATAAAAAAAAGGCAGAACAACACTATAACAGAAAATCTCTTTCATACTAATATATCTATTAATGAGAAAACAAAACATTTGACTCATTGGTCTCTATTGTAAATTTCTATAACTCAATTTTCGTTATGTTCTGAATATGAACTAATTGACTCAAACGTTTGAGTAGAATTCTTGAGTATTAAACTGAACTGATTTCATGTATTGTTGAAGTGAGAAAATTTAAAAACAAATATTCACCTTCTGGTACAGCATATATTTTAACATCATTCATATCAAGATCAAGTAAATAATCAAAATATTCTTTTTCAGTATACGTAGGTAATACTGAACGAAGATATTCAATATCAGTTACGTGAAACTTGTAGTCACGAATAAATTTAAGACATTCATCAAGACCAGCAAATAATGTGTATTCACCACCAAACGCTAAACTCAATAAAAAACAAGAAATAAATAGATTAACTTTTCGTTTCGTTTTACTGACGATTTTTTCGAAAATACAAATCAAATGTTGCCATTTCTTGATGTTTGTTGGATTTCCAATAAGCATAGGCCATTGATATTTGATAAAGATCAGTTAATAGTGGTTGAACCACATTTGATTGTTCGAATGCATTCATTAATGAAACTTTTTCACTAGCTGTTGAATTCAAAGATTCCTGTTTGTTTAAATATGATGATGGAGTAGAATTAACTAAAGGAGGAGTTTTCGTACTGATCAGTGGTAATGCCGATGGGTTATCTAAAACTCTAGGGTAAAAATAATGAAATGTTTGCTTTTTTTGTGTGAAAACATATATAGCATTTGGGAAGAAAAAATAAACTTTCTTGTTGGCTTGACCTGCTTGTTTTATATTATCAATATCAAATATTAGCTTAACAGCTATTTTATTTCAGATTATCAATATTAAGTCAAGAAATTTGTCTGTATTTATACGTAACTATTTAAGACCATATTATATTACGAGTTACAAAAACTTGCATACAGTTGTGAAATATCAATATTCCAACATCCTTTCTATGTACGTTATAGCAGGTATTCATGAATTGAATTACGTATATCCATTCAATTCCACATCAATGAATACAGTATGTATAGTAAATATTTATTTAATTCAACAGATTGAATTCTCAGTCATTTTAAGGAATAAAATAAAAAAATAATTTATGGGATTATTCAGAGAGGATGTCCAGATGAAAATCTTATTTTTGAAATGTTTCATCTCTTCCTTAAAACATTTCGTTTTCGAAAATTTTCAGCTAGTATCTGTTTATCTACAAGTGATAGTCTTTTTGTATTAAATGACTTCTATACGTGATCTATTCGAAGATAATCCGTAATAAGATTCACAAAACGTATCTCTTACTATTGTAGATTTACTCTTAATATAAGAACTTCGTTCTTATATATATATTTATTTCACGTTTTGAAATAACAACTTATCTATGTGTATTTCATATATCTTTGATATATAAAATGAGCAAAAGAAATAATATTGCGTGATAGAAAATTATGCACTAAAATATGTAGGTCATTGCTTGTCTTGCGATCGACCTTGATAGAACACACAACACAACAAAAAGATGAAGGACAAAAACAATGTCCAATCATATAAAGGAATGTAAAGAGAAAGAAGACAATAACATGCTACAAGAAAGGAAACAGCACCAACAACTGTAAGTCCCATTAAAACAGAGTCAATTTGTAAGTTTGATGAAAAATATTCGAAAAAATTATGAAAAGTCTTTAAAAGTGTTCAAAATCCCGTATGAATCTCAGCTATACTTTCTGTTCATATTTATATATGAACTATTTTTGTTGGCTATTTCGTAGTTCTCATGGCATGGACAGCGTTTACGAATGATTTGTATGCTTGTTAGCAAATATTTGCTTGTTACTAACGGCTCTTTCGGCGAAAAAAAGGGTAAAGAATCACTAGCTGTTTTTTTCCCATAAAGCATTCTTGAAATATTTCTCACAATTCACACCAGATTTTTTTATTCGGAACAGCAATAATTATTTCTTTTTTTCATTTNAAAAATAAACTTTCTTGTTGGCTTGACCTGCTTGTTTTATATTATCAATATCAAATATTAGCTTAACAGCTATTTTATTTCAGATTATCAATATTAAGTCAAGAAATTTGTCTGTATTTATACGTAACTATTTAAGACCATATTATATTACGAGTTACAAAAACTTGCATACAGTTGTGAAATATCAATATTCCAACATCCTTTCTATGTACGTTATAGCAGGTATTCATGAATTGAATTACGTATATCCATTCAATTCCACATCAATGAATACAGTATGTATAGTAAATATTTATTTAATTCAACAGATTGAATTCTCAGTCATTTTAAGGAATAAAATAAAAAAATAATTTATGCTTGTTAGCAAATATTTGCTTGTTACTAACGGCTCTTTCGGCGAAAAAAAGGGTAAAGAATCACTAGCTGTTTTTTTCCCATAAAGCATTCTTGAAATATTTCTCACAATTCACACCAGATTTTTTTATTCGGAACAGCAATAATTATTTCTTTTTTTCATTTATCTTAATAATAAATTGCAGTTTTATACTTCTATCTATTTTAAGATAAAGTAAATATTTACAGTCAACAATGTGAAAACTTTAATGCATAGTATAAAGCAACAAATAAAAAACAGCTTACTCGTTCTTTTCAGAGGTATTGACAGTTGCCACTTTACAACGACGAGCAGAATCAAGCATTTTTAAAAAATCTTTAGAAACATGTCAGACAGCTTTTTTTAAATATTCTGAGATATGCCACAGAACATGCATGTTATGTGTCGCTACTCGTAGATTTTTCTGTTCTTTAGCAAACATTGATCAAAAATCTACTGTCTATCACTTACTACCTATTGTTTTTGTTTTGATATCGGTGAGAGTAGTTTTTTAATAAAAAATTTTCTTGAGCATTATTTTTAAGACTTTTAGTTTTGATAACATTATCAATAGCCGCCGATGGTGACACAAGAGAATTCTTTAATAATTTACTTCTTAAAGTAGTTCTCTTAATAGTTGTTGTTGTTGCTACTCGTTTTCTCGTTGTTATTATGTCTAAAAAGTAATTACTTTGCATTTGTATACATGAATAGAAACTTGGCACATTTAAAAGGTATAATATTATACATAAACCAACAACATACATTTTCATTTCGTAAATCACATTTAGAATGAATACGATATATTTACTATATTCCAATTAAAAGCAAATAACAGTCAGCACTGAAAATTTATTCTATTGATATCTAGGTCATTTATAAATTAATATTTATTAATTATATACAAGTACTTGGAATTTTTCTAAGGCTAAGATAATATTCAGAATAATTGAATGAAAAAAAAAATAAATGCATAGGAATAATGCATTTTCGTATAAAGCAGAATCAGAAATACAATGTCTACTTTAGTAACAGATAATTAAACTAAGATCATTTTTATTATTTATTTATAATATTCTGAAAATTTTAGCAAAAAATCTCTAAACCATAAATCAAAAGTAATATTCATGTGTATATGATATTCTAACATAGAACGTATGAAAAATAGTCTTGATAAACTTACCATCTTCAATAATTCGATCGTTTTTTTCTCTTAATGTAGCCATTTATAATTACATGTATAAAAGATAATAGAACAGTACAAAAAAAAACAGAAAAAAAAAGAATCTAGAAGTAAATAATGTATCCAAAAAAGTTCATGAGTAGAGACTAATCTCTTGGCTCTTCCTTTTTTTTTATTAAACAAACAGGAAAAATCGACAACAAAAGTTAATCTCCACCATCACCACCATCGTCATCTAAATCATCGCCATCTCGATCACCTGAATCATTATATGAATCAAAATAATCTGCTGCCTAAAGAAAAATATATTTATTCTTTCATGAGAAATTTAGCTTTAATTTAGATATACTTCGTCTTCATCCATATCTTCTTCTTCTTCATTTGCCATTTCACCATCAATTTCATTTTCATTATCTGTTAATTTCTTTTTTTCTATATCTATAGTTAAAAGAAGATATGAAAAATGTGTTTTCCCGTAGTATAAATATTAAAACCTTTAGGTTTTCCTTCATTATCTTCGTCATTTTCATTGATTTCAATATTATCATCATTCTTTTCGTCATCTGGTTCATCGTCTTCATCTTGATCTCCACTTTGTTTTTCTTCATACTAAAAGATGAATCGATAGATATGTTGATTCATTGAAATGAAAAATGAAAGTTTCACATACTGTACTAAGATCAATATTCAATAATGTTTTTGTTTTTTTATTTTGTGTACGAATGTTTTTCTTCGATAAATTTGGTTTAATTTTTGATGAATTTATATTAATACGAGATGCCTGTTTTAATTCACGAGGTAAAATAGACCATTCTAGAAAAATTCTTTATTTCTTATACATACAAATTAGGCTATCAATAGATCTCACCTTCTTTCCATTTATTTAAAATAAAATTCTTTTCATGATCAATTTTGGTTGGATCATGTAAAGTTCGAAAACTCGAATTAAAATTTAATTTAAGTTTTAGTTTATAATCATAATCATTAGTTGGATTTTCAATTAGCGGATGTGGTGTATTAACTAATTCCTTTTAAAACAATACTACAGAAATATTAAATTGATATTTTCTCATATGATTAATATAAGAATAAATACCGGAAATACAGGTGGTGGTTCATTGACATCCGCTGGTAAGCTATCTTTGGCTAATTTTAACGCATCAATTGTGAATGATGCATGACCCCGGCCAAAAGCCATTGATGATGAAATATAACTCAATGAAAATAAATTCAATTGATATCATCGAAATAAACTTTAGAAGAATTTTTCTAAGTCGTCAAATGAAAATTTCTAGTTAACAGAGGGCACTAGCCATCAGAAAATATATACCATATATTAAAAATTTTATTTAAAAAAAGCACTTCAATTATGAAGATTATTTAAATCGCTCATTACAGAACAGAATCATCGTACTCATAGTTAAATCTATTATCGACAAAGAACGAAGAAAAACAGAAATCATACAGATAGAAGTACAGTAGCAACATATACATACAGGTGCCAATTATTAAGAAGGTGACTATTTAACAAGATTTTCTTATAATAAACTAGAAATTTATATTGAATACATTGAGTGTAAGCACGCAATAGTAATGATGAACTATCGGCTCATCGTCGCCGTTATATCCCTTATGCAGTCATTGCATAACTAATAAGAGAATGAAATGCAATGCTCTTGATTAAGAAAAGTCTCTCAATACTTGACGAAAATCTGAACAAATGATTGATCAAATTTTTCTATCTCGAAACATTGTTATATAGTGAAAATTTTGCTAGTATTAAATAAAGACGTTTTTTTGTTAGATAAAGTTTCATTGAAAGAATTTAAACATACGAGTTACTTCGATGCATCGTAATAATCATAAGAAAATTGATTGAATGAAACACTTTTCGACAATGAAGAACGAAGAGTATCTATCTTTTTAGCATTTCGTATAGTTCTTATTGGTTCTATCGAATTGAGAAAGTCTTATTTCAAAAAATTCTTTATCACTCGAGAGATTCTATTTTTAATTCTCTTTTATATAGTCACAAATAAAAACATCAAAATGTTTCAAAATGTTGCACATGTCTTACGAAAAATGAAAGAAAAAGAAAACGAAAAAGAAAGGAAGAAAAAGAACAACACAACATTTAACAAAAACAAAAAAAGAAACTAAAAGGTAATTCATATCGTTTTATATTATTTAAGTAAAAAATAAGATGTCTTGTCTAACGAAAACTTTGAAAATAAAATCTTAATCATGAGGAATAATTTGTTTTCTAGATGACAAATATCGATTATGAATATGTTGATGAGATATCTATAGATGAAAATTATAAATGTTCTATTTGCAGTAGACCATTTAAACAGCCAGTAACAACACCATGTGACCATAACTATTGTCAAGATTGTATTCAAAATTGGTTAAATCAAAATCGTTTATCATGTCCAACATGTCGTGAACCTTTATCAACAGATGATCTAACACCAATCACTACTCGTTTAGTATTAAATATTCTTGATAAACTTCTTGTTAAATGTTCTCAATGTCAACAAAGCGGAATTCAACGTGGAAATTTAAATGATCATATAACAAAATTTTGTCCAAAAATCCTTGTTATCTGTACAGCATCTGATATTAAATGTCCATGGTCAGGTACACGTGATGAACTTAAAAGTCATCTTTCAACATGCTATTATGAACAATTACGATCTGTACTTACTCAACTCATTACTATGAATCAACAATTTGAAGAGCATGTGCAAACTCTTACAAATCATGTACAAACTTTACAATTAGCAGGTGAATTCTAATTTAATTTCGATTTAGTCAAATTCAATTTATTCATATATTTAGTTTATAATCCAACAAGTCGTTTAATTACATTTGATAAACTTATCGAAATTGAAAATAAAATCGATTCGGGAGTATTGCCTGAATTTTACGAAGGTTTACGATGGATTAATGTTTGGTATATGCATGAACAATGGGTTAAAACTAATCATGCTATTAGCGGTTGGAAAAATGCTTATACACATAATCATACATGTGTTGCTTTTAACGGAAAAGGCAATTCTATGAAAATATGTTCAAAAAATATCGGTAATGAAACATTTTCATTAATATCTTTTGAAGCAACTGCTGCTTGGCATGATAATCTTCAAATAAATATTATTGGACAACGAGTTAAACAAGAAATCTATTCAAAGACAATCATTCTTCAATTTAATCAGTCAAAAGTGTTTCAATTTGATTGGAAAAATATTGATCAGATTAAATTTATTCCAGTCAACGGAACGTATCATTCACAAATTCAATATGATGAAAAATATTTTGCTTTGACTTGGATACTTTTAGGTTAATAGGCTATTTAAACTTGAAGAGAAATGAAAATAAAAGGAAATTGAAATTGATAATAATAAACAAAAGTCAGAAAGAATCTGCCTTGTTTTGAAGATATTCAATTTATAAAAAAAAATGCAGAACTAGGATCCAGTAGATTTTTTCTAACTAGGGTTCTTGCAATCTCAGCAGTTCAACTAAAACTGAACGAATTGAATCATTTTTCTTCTTTTCTTGCAGTCTGACATTTAGTCAAATTAAAATCCTCGAATAGTTGTATTTACTTTCTATGTACTATGATAAAAATGTTAGAAATAAGGTTTCATAGCTACCGTAATTTTAGCGATTCATCTTCGTAGCTCTTCGTTCTATAAGTGGTTTACACAAAAAATACGAAACTTCATCAGACTGCTAAATCTACGTAGATTAATTAGTTTAATACATCAGCTATTCAAAAACACAAAGATGATTAGAATTACTCTATAGTATTTTAGAATTCTGAGAAGTATTTACTATAAATAATAGGAAACTACAGATAAATCTATGATGAATCATACTGTCAAACATTGATTAATATTATTTTGATAATCTAACCTGATAACAAAGTGATTGTATCAAAAATATGCAGTATGTTATGTTGTATTTCGAGTCAATACACTGTTCTCGTGTGAAATTTTTCACAGAAAGAAATTTCAATGTCACCATGAAGTATCCGATTATTGAAAAGAACGTATTTTCATGATCCATCGTATCGAACAAAAAAACAACAACATGCAAAGACTAAAACCAATTAGGGTGTCGCAGCAGATCAAGAACTCGACTGTGCCGGCTGTTTTTTTTGACGGGTTGCAGCTCTGTGATCGGCTATTTCAAACGATAAAATATTATGTAGCTAGTCGTGACTACTAAATTTACTTGGAATCGGAAGTAAATTTATTTGTCGCAGACTATTTTCTTCCGGCTAACGTTTTGATAATTATATAAAATTTATTATATATTTTTGAATTTTGCCTGTCACTCCAATGTTCATTTTTGGAATAATTTCCAATATTTCTGTTTTCATGATCAAAAGAAGATTTCTTTGTTTTAGTTAATTTACTGGAAAAAATTCATATGATTTCAACATAAAAATGTGACATTATTGACGTTCAAAATCAAAACATAGAATGGTGAGTCTAGATTTCAGTAAATTGCCATAAGTAATTTTATATTAATGTAATCTTAGCAAGAAGAGACTGTTGAATGTTTGTTCATTGAAATATTTTAAATGATTGATGTCTTCAAAAAAGAGAATAATCACTTTCTTCGTAAAAGTTATAAAATAGTTTTACAATAATAATATCAAAATGAGTTGAAAATTAACCTAGATAATCATATATCAAATTCCGAAAGGATTAACTGTATTTTGTGATCGTAATATGTACTATTTCACCACGAATAAATTAGACTTATTAGGAAAATTTAATCTCAGAATATGTGGTCAACCTTTCTTTTGATAAGCAAATCATCCACTATAATGGTGAAGTTCTATTTGAATAGCCATCTCTCATTTTTCTATCATGGATAATACAGGAATTGCTTTTTGAAATGTTATCAATTTAATTTAATAACATTAATGTCAATATTTTTCAAACGAAACCAGCGTTTGAATCGGTGCGACCTCTGATGGTTGCATCTAATTTATGTATTTGTGAGGATAAAATAATTTTCTAATGGCGACATGCTAAATAAAACATGGTCCAATGATTAGTTGCAGAAAAAAGGCGTAGGAAACAACAGTAGGCAAACAGCAAAACTCCTCCGCTTAATTTATATCTATTTATCTGTCTTATCAAATTTTAGTACATTACTTCCGTTTTGATTCATATATAACTATTACAATGTCAATGAAATCGAATTCAGCATTTCAACGTCTTCAAGCTGAATATCGTCGTTTAGCTAAAGATCCAATACCATATTTAACGGCTCAACCATTATCGTCGAATCTATTAGAATGGCGTTATGTTGTACGTGGACCGGTCGATACGCCTTATGAGGGTGGAATATATCAAGGAAAAATTGTTTTCCCGGTTGAATATCCTTATAAACCACCTAGTAGGAGTTTTTTATATATCATATTTATAAGTTTCAATGTTAATCTGTTTTCTAGGTATATATATTTTAACTCCTAATGGTAGATTTAAAACTAATACAAGTTTATGTTTAACAATAACATCATTTCATCCTGACTCATGGAATCCATCTTGGTAGATTCTATTTTGTCTTAAAAGAAACAATAAATATATTATATTATATTATATATATTTAAGGTCAATATCATCAATACTAAATGGTTTTCTAAGTTTTATGTGCGATACCAGTGCCACATTCGGTAGCATAGAAAGTACATATGCACAGAAACGTAAATTTGCATACGATTCATTATCATTCAATATTCAAGATTCAATATTTTGTGAATTATTTCCTGATATAACGAATGAAATCAAAAGAACTTTAGAGGAACGAACTGCTGAATTGTTAACAATAAATTCTAATTCTAGTTCTAATATTAATAATCAAAAGCAACCTATAATATCATCAACATCAAATAGTGATTCATCATCAGCATCTTGGTTTAATAATCTTATTGGAAATCTAATGATTCTTGCATTATTAGCTGTATTTGCTCTGGTCGTTCGATTTATTCTTAACTCTACTGCTGAAATACAATAAATTATGGAGAAGATTTGATATAAACCTTAAAGAAATTTCTATTCGTTTTTTTCTCAATGTATAAATAAATAAAAGTGACAAGAAAAAAAAATTATTTTATTGAATTTATTGGATGAATTTTCAGTATATTCTTTTTCTCTTTTCTTTAAGATATGAGTATCCAACAAAATGTTATTGGACCTGTATCAGCACACAGCATATCCACTTCATATGGAGCATTGAAAAATTTTGAGGTTATTAAATATCTTGGTAAAGGGCATTTTTCTACTGTCTTTTCTGCTCGAAATCGTTTTACTAATTCTTATGTTGCGTTGAAAAAAGTTGAAGTAAGACTATTCAAAAACAAGGATAATTAGAAAATGTTTTTATTTTGTTCTTCACAGTTAAGTCAAATGGCTGATGCCAAAGCTATTGAAGATTGTAAACGTGAAATAAGTTTACTTCAAGTATGAATTTATCTAATTTAAAGGAGAAAAAAACATCGAAAAATCATTTACATTTTATTTTAGCAACTTAATCATCCAAATGTAATTAAATACATATCTCATTTTGTCGAAGATAATGATTTATATATTGTTTTGGTAGGATTTTTAATTGGTTTCACATTAAGATAAAATATTCTCTTCATTGATATTAATTTAGGAATTAGCTAGTGCTGGTGATTTAGCTCAAATGATAAAGCATTTTGTTAAAACAAATAAAAGAATGACAGAAAAGACAATATGGAAATTTTTTCGACAAATCTGTAGTGGTCTTGAACATATGCATTCAAAAAGAATTATGCATCGAGGTATATATAAAAAAAACTTGCTTAATTTTTTCTGTATTTTATGAATAATTTTTTGTTTTTTAAATAATAGATATTAAACCGGCAAATATTTTTATTAGTGCTGAGGGTGCTGTTCGACTTGGTGATCTTGGATTAGGTCAGTTTAATTTCTCCGATTGATTAGTTTTAGATATCATTTTACGTGAATATTTCAAAGGTCGTTTCTTTGGTTCAAAAACTACTTCAGTTTATTCTATGGTTGGAACGCCGTAAGTATTTCTAAATAATTAATATTCTAAATAATTATGTAAAAATCAATACTAGATATTATATGTCACCAGAACGTATTCAAGAGCATATTATTGGTTATGATTTTCGATCGGATATTTGGTCGCTTGGTTGCATTTTATACGAAGTAAATACTAGTTTCTTTCTTTATAAGAAATTTTTTATCGTCTACTTTTTAGATGGCAGCACTTCGTTCTCCATTTTTCGGTGAAAATCTGAATCTCGTCTCATTACGTGCGAAAATTTTAGTACTCGACTACGCACCATTACCAGCAAGTATGTTTTCACACGAAGTTAGTATTCCATTTTTGTTCTACTTGATTTTAAACGAAAATATTTCTCTTTTTTAAAAGCTTCGTCATCTTGTTGCAAGATGCCTTGTATTAGCTCCTGAACAACGACCAGATATAACTGAAGTTAATCATATAGCTCAAATGATGTATGCAAGATTTGTTGAACAAGCAAATATGGCTAATAATACTCCAACACCGACTCCATCATCACGTGATGATTCAGCCTGTGGAAGTGTTACACCTGTTAATAATCGATAAATATTTGATTTATTGATAGTGTGATATCTTTTCTTTTCCATTATCCGTCCATTTTAAGTACAGTGAGAATGAATAAATATTCATTTTTGACCGGTCTTACGCTCGTTTTCTATTCGAAACAAAACAAAATGATATTCAAAAAAAAAATATTCTATTGATGTACTTATATTTCAATGTTTTTATTTAAAAAAAATATTAATTTTAAACTATTTTTTTGATTATACATATTTACCGATCCTGTCTGTAGAACATCATTATATTTTTTTCTTGCATTTTTACTTTGTTTTCATCGGTTATGTTCTTTTTTCTTCTTCTTTCGTGTATATTATGAATGTGTTGGGAAAGAGCAACGAATGAAAAATATAAATATATACACAATACAGAAGTAATGATACGAAATCTATTTTCGAATATTTTTATTTGCTAAGAAAATAAATGTTTATATCAATGCAATAAATATTGAAATGATGATTTGAAATATTAGATAAAATATTGTTGCATGTCAAAAATTGAATGCCGATTTATATTTATTGTGATTTTAATCTTAGTTGTTTTTCCAAAATAAACATTGAAGAGTAGTACTGTATACCAGCAAGCAAATATAAAAATTGGGTACGAATTATATCGAAAGAGTCATACTCATTTGATATTCTGTTTCTTATACGTCAACAATCGAATGATTTGTCAGCATAAAGGTACTGCTAAAATTTGATAGAAGTGTTTCTTCACTAGAAAAATTGATGAAAAATTGATTGTCTTGGAGAAACTTTATTGAAAAAAACATTCATTGATGTTAAGCTACCTTTGAAAATAACCAAGGACTTCATACTTTTACTTAAAATTGTCAATGACGAAAATAAAACAATAGTTTTGAATCTGTTCATTTCGAAATACTTACTTGAATTGCTTACATATGCGATCAATTAAGAGAAAAACAAGATGTAAAATATTAAATTAACATTTAGTTTTTAAATGCATTTCTATGAAAGAAAATTTTTACTTAAATTTCGATTGAGGCACTAACCATATTATTACATCTTTTATGTAAAAGGGAGTAATAGATTAAATAAAAATAAATATTTCATTATCAATTTCTTTTTATTTAGACATACCGTGATTCATCAACAGAATGTTAAATGAACAAATATTATAAGATCAATCAGTAAAAATGTTGTGAATTGTTATGTTGGTTGTAGCTATTATAATTAGTATTAAAATTATATCATAGTTATCAATCGATTTGTCTAATACGAAGCGTCAACGATTCATGAATTCAAAATATGATGAATCATCCAAGAATGCTTGTACTCTCAAACTAATGAAAGAAAACTTCTTCGGCTAGCTGTTTTATGTACCGATGTACTAAACTAATTGATGATAATTTACAAATAAGTTTCTAGATTTTTTCCTGTGTTTATTTCATTAAAATGTCGGCAGGTATATTATAAACCAAGATAGAACCATTTTCGTGACTAGATCACTCATTATCAATTAATACGACTAATTATTGGATAGATTTTATTTTTGAATCTTTTGAAAATTATCGACTTTGAACGATTTCTCATTGGTTTTATTATTTTTTCATTGTGGCATAAAATATTTTGTGCGAAAATATTTCAATGTTACCAGTGACTGCAAAAGAAATGATTTACTTGAAAAACAAAATATAAAACATGAAAAGATCAAGTTTTTAGGAAAAATTTGTCAATGAAATATTTTAGAAAAATACGTTCGAGAATTATTATAGATGATGTCCTATTTTAACTGTTAGTCTTATATCATGAAAATAATTTCATAGCAAATGCTTTTGGCTCATGTAAAAAAAACACATTATGATTAGACATGTTTAGTTCTATAGTATCCCATTCATACTACTTTCTCCGAATATGCTTTTGTCTAGGCTTATATTCTGTTTCAATTATCAAAGTTGAGTTTATTAAGTTGTAAGCTATGAGAATTTAAACAAAAGTTACTGATAAAATGTAAACATTTTCGTTCGTTTTATATGTCATCTCCTGTTAAATTTTATGTAATTCACTGATGGATTACAAAATACAATGTATTCATATTGGCGTTGTCCTTGCATTATGCAAGCAACAATCATGAAAATAACTTCAAAGATAAAATGACGAAGAGTACACATTAATAAAAATGATGACAATACGCTGCAAATGACTTCAATTCTTGCTTGTTACGTTCGGATAGAAAAAACAAAAGCAGAACTTTTTCTCCTGTTGATGCAAGATAAGATCTGTTCGTGATCACTTTCTGCATGGTATATCATAGGTAGGTGTTGAGAAAATTCTTAAATTAAAAATGATTTTTCCAGATACTAGAAACGATGAAACAATTAATGACTTTGCTTAGTTTTCGTAAGAATTTCATTTATCAATAAGTAAGAAAAATTCTCATTTGTATGAATTCTACTCTGTCTACTTTTGCATCGCATATATTCAAACACAAGTATTGTTTCAATGTAACTTTGGCAATGTTACAATAGTGAATTGTTGTTTTACTGGATTCTTGGTCGTTGGAAAAGCTGTAAAGAAAGCTACTAATAAAGCACCCATTGCACCTTTATCAGATGTTAAATCGAGCCGTAAGAAAATCTATCATCTAAGTACTATGTTCATTCTTACATTATACTTTATTCTCATTATATAGTCAAACCAACAGCCAATGGGCTAAATTGTAAATTACCATATAGAGCATCTGGGATATGCTCTTTTGTAATGAGGCTTATTGTCCAACAGAAACCAATACACGGACTGCTTGCTTACCAGGTTAATTTAGTTCGCATTAATTTTATTGTTTCGTTTTGTTTTCATGTATCAATAAATATTTTAGGTCAATTTGGTCATATTACAATCCTGGTAAACAATTATAAAGTTACTCATGCTCTAAATACTCCTCAAAATGGCATCATAGGAATTAATCAACAATGTCTTCTCTATTACTACTGCATGCCAATTCTACCTGGAACAGTAGGCAAAATTACAGTACGCAAAGAAGAAACATCAGGAAAAGTGACACTATTGATACTGTCACAAATAGTCCACTCAGTCGATGGATTAAACGTAATGTAACATTCACTAGTACAAAATCTGGATATAAAGTAATAATATTTAGATAGATGGATATTGCAAAAGAAAGTTTTTTGTAGATTTATTTTTATTTTGAAAGAACAACAGGAGCAATTTTATCTGAATCGTACATTACGGTTGACGAAATTTCGATATTACAAGGCAGTTGTGATAAATGAATTATTTCATTAGATAATGATTTTTTTAATAATTAAAATCTAGCTATCGCAACAATGACAACAACAACATTAAGAACATCAACAACTTCTACAACTAAAAAAGCTTCAACTACAGCAAGAACCTCAACAGTTACCGGCACCTCTACAGCTACTGCAACTGAATCAATAAATTCGTCGACCATAAAATTGACAACAGGGCTAACAACTTTATCAACTACATCTATTATGACTGTAGTCCCAATCATAACAAGGTAACATTGAAAGACTCATCTTTGTCTAAATTTTAGCTCTGTTTTGTCTTTTTCTAACATTTTATAGCACAAAAGAAACAAATAGTTCTACAACAATCATTACAACACTTGGTCAGTCAACAGTAGCAAGCAATGTTTTGATTTCTGAGAAACTTTATAATAATATGACTATTTTCAGATGAGTTCAACAGCATCAAAAGAAATCAGCTCTGAAAGCTATATCAGAGGTATTATATTAGCAGAACTATTTTAACAAATCCAATCAAATAATAAATTATTTCATTTTTGTGAAGGAAACATCTGCAACAACACTACCTGCTATCGAAAGTACTTTTAGGTAAATTTTTATACATAGGAATAGACAAATTATTTTTCTGTAAATTTCTCTATAGTAGTACATTGACAATCATGAACTTAACTACTATAGTGCTGCATGGACAACGGTAACGTACTATGTTAAATACATACGGCTATATAGAATAGTGGAGTAGTGTTGTAAATATCGATCTCATATACATATTTACGTAGTAAACAATAAAAATATCAACGAAATGATTTCTATTGTATGGCAAATATCGAAAATGTATTTTCCCTTTCTTTAGTCATTTACTACAACGATGATGAGTATAAATATATCCATGGCACCAGAAACGACTGAGAAGCTAAAAACTGGCACAACCAACTGAAGAGACAAGTGATATCATAGTATTCAGTACGCCGCAAGAAATAACATCAATAGAAGTTCCAAGAACATCTGAAACTGCAATCAAGCTCACCACCACAAAAACATTTTCAATAGTTGCAACAAATCATACTTCACTCGTATCTGTCACTTCATCTAAAATAACCATAGCTGTACCAACTAAAATATCAACTAGTACTTCAAGAGAATCAACTGATCTGATAACAACAACAACAACAGCAGCTACTCGTTCTTCCACAACTTTAATCATGAATGCAACAACATTTGGTAACAACGAGAATAATGTTGACCCCTCAAATAAACCATTTACTAGTGTTCTTGCTACGTTAATACCTGCTATATGCATCGCAGTAGCAATTGTTATCTTTATTTCGAAAAAAAGAATAGCTTCGGCAGCAGGTAGTATATTTGGTAGTGCTGCTCAATATTTTATGAAAAAAGATCAAAGCATTGAACTTTTACTGATCGTTGAAGCCGATCCAATGAAAAAGCTTTACAGCGCAGCCCTGTTGGGGCTAAAATGTGGAACTCTCATATTTCGGACAGTTAGATACTGATCTTATAGAAGTTTTCTTTTTTCAGTGTACGGAGATCATATTTTGTTCAAAAATAAGTTAATAAAACCTTTTAAACATTCAAAATTTATTGGATCTATCAATCGGAAATATTACTTGAGAGAACGTGTAAAAAACTTTTCGTTTAGAATATGTCAGTATGCTGAAGTGTTTAGTGGTTTCATTGAGAAATATTCTGAATGATAATAGTTTAAACAGTATTTAGGATATAGCTATCAATATTGTTGAGAAATTGATACAATTTTTCATAAACGAAAATTAGCTAAAAGCCTCTCACTGGTTGGAAAAGTTGCGAATTGTAAATACACTAAAGCGAATTCAAGCTCTAGAATAAGATATTCGTGTGAGAAAAAAAAGATTAAAATCTTCATCTATTTATTGTAAGTGGTAGAAGTAACGAGTGTAATAGTAACACAAACTAGTTGCTAGCTTCTGTAGCGGTAGCATACACTTGTTGCTAACGTCTGTAATAATCAAAATATATAATACTGTCGTAACTATGAACTATAATAATAAAAACGACAGATTTTGATGACTAATTAGAGATTAAATCCTAATTATAATGATTTCTAATTAGTGAAACTAGATTTTTATTACTGATGTGAGTAGTGGTGAACATAGGCAATCGACCTGCACCAAAAAAGTTTCTAATTAGTGCATCTAAGTGTTAGTTCTTTTAATATTTTATGTCTTTAAGGGGGTGGGAGGGGGGGGGGGTACAGGGGAGCCGCAAGAACCTAACAATTCAACTTACACTCACTATTTTCTTCAAAAATATATGAGTTCCACAAAATAAAATGATGGTTTAATGTCTTCGATGTTATTTAGAGTACGCTGCTGATTTTCACATATTGACATTTCGCAAACATATTTTCATGATCATTTTTTTTCTATTTGTATTTTCGAATAATCTTACAGGCATTTCTTATAATAGTAATTATTTCTAAATCGAAAAAATACAATAAGTAAATACATTGTGCATTTTGGATTGATAATATGGATTATGAAGACACTTTAATTTCTACTTGGTAA